ACGATCACTTTTCTGCAGCATGCCCTGCTTTTGCCAGCTGCTGATTACCCTCCTCCTAACCACAAGTGACATGTCCACATTACAGATTGGAGTAAACAGTAAGGATACTGCATTTACCTTGAAATTAATTAAATAATGCACTTAAGGAAACCCAGCATCAAAGTCTGATTAATTCTGGAAACTTCTTGGGGTATTCAGACAATAATAGGCAGAAATGCTGTGCTAAATAGAGACAAGCATCAGAGACAACCTTGCTTTGGAATTAGAGTCTTATGCAAAGAGACAGTGAGAATTTGCATTTAATGTGATTATTAAAATGCATTTGTAAAGGAGAGAGTCTAGTCCACCTATACAGATTCTCCAAAAATGAGATGACCTTGCAAATGCAACAAAAAGCAACCTTCCAGAAGTGAAACGAAGTGTTTTTCTGGACATCTCTTTCCAATACAAGCCCTAAAGGAAAGAACAAGCTAATCCATGCCACCTATTTGGAAGGAGACAAGTCCCTGCAGCTCATCAGGTGTTTGATCTAAACATTTGCAAAGGAAGTTTTGATTTTCATTACTAAAAATAAACTCCAGCTTGTACGTGAGGATTATTTTGCAGTCTTCCATAATGTCTTTCCTGCACTATTTTCTGGGGACTTTAAGAGCTAACATTTAAAGAGGTTTTGTCAAACTCTTAAGGAAATAAAGACACAGGTAGAAATTTCATGACCTTCCAAAAGTGAGACATCAAGTGTGGCTTATGTTCGCTTTCTTTATTAGTGAAAATTGAAAATAAGTCACTTTTTTTCTCATCTAACTTAAATTGAAATATGGCTCTCCTATTCTAAAACAAAAATAGCCTCGCTCAAGTATCAGTTACTAAGTATCACATCACTGAAGGCAAGGGAGTCCAGTCCAGTGTCACCATAGAAGTGGTTTAGGTTTTGTTTGTTTTGCATGCAGACGAGGTCAAAAATACTTTTGAAAAAGCTTCCCATAGGCACCCTCTGTTCCCTGAAATTAAAAACCATCAATTCAGGAGTCCAGCTGTCAACATAAGGCACACTAAATCAGCAGACCAGATTCGCTGTCCCCTCAGCCTTCGTACCCTGCTGGACTGTCCGGCCTCGCTGTGCCGAGCCCTTCACCTCAGCTGAGCCTCTGCAGAGCTCTCAGCTCTTCTTTCACTGTCTGGCTTGTGCTCTGCCCTCTGCACTCTGCCTCTGCTTGCAAGAGCCAAGGTACCTCTTCGGACCTCAACAAGAAATCAAATTCATTTGTGGAGGGTACCCTCAGACCTTCTCGAGTGAGTGAGTGAGTGAGTGAGTGAGTGAATTCACAGCCCAGCACTGTGCAGGGGTTGGTGCAAGCAGGACATGAAATGCCTGTGTGTGGCTGACAAGGGGCTGGGCTGCCCACAGCAGTTTGAAGGAAAAATGATTCCCACTCACCTTTTGAGTTGGTTTGGGATTTTTTTACTATTTATAATACACTTGAGTTTTAAAAATAAGCCTGTCCTCATTGCTCCTTAGAGTCTGACTCAGTACCAACACCACTGACAGAGAGGGCCATACTTAGAGGTACTTGTCAGCTGTGGGAGGAAAATCACTGGGCAAAACAAGAAGTGCCAGTGCTAGCCAGGAGGTGGCAGAGGAGTCAGGCTACCTTGTACACCAGTTTCTGCATTGTTTTGGCAAAAAGACAAATAGAAACTGAGGAAATACAACAAAACCTAGTCCCACCCTCCATCTTCAGGAATAAGAGGATGAAACCCTTAATCACATTCCTGCTTGTATTTATACTAATTGCTCCTCTTCCTGAGATCTGACTTTATGAAATTATGCATGCACACCAAGCAGATGAGTTTCCATAGAAACTCAGGAGCTGAACTTTCATTAGAAAAATCATTTTAAAAAAAATCTTCCAGATAAAAATGCAAATTGCCTGTCAGTGGGTGGCTTTCTGAATTTAGATATAATTTTTTTCTTTTGCACTGTAGGCAGATTCCAGCTGGACCTACATAGCAACAACATGCAGGCATTGTTTATAGCAAGCCAGACTCCATGGGGAAATGAGAAATTCAGTAGCAAGGAGAAGCTCTCAAGTGCAAATACCTCAGAGAAACAAAAACTCAAGTGCTCAGTGCTGCATCTTCCTGAGGCTTTGAGGTTTGCTCAGCCTCCAGCTCTCAAAATGCTTGTGGTTTGCAAGGAGCAGTGTGGGGAGGAGGGGAGAGAGGAAATGCAAAACCAGAAACTCTCCTGCACACAGAATTAACGATGTTCAACCTGTCCTTTAAACATCAGCAGCATATTTGTGCCGCTTCAGTTAAGCCTTGCTAAAAGGCTGACACCATCTGTCACAGCTCACTCTGGGCAAAGGACTAGGTCTGTGCAGGGCTGGGGAGTGTTGGCAGACCTGGGCTGGCCAAACCCCAGGCTCCACTTGGGCTGAGGCCTGGAGCCCAGGGTCATGTGCCCACACTGCCTGGAAATCCAGGCATGCGTGCAGGAAGAGGGCATGGGGCTGTTCTTCATCACAAGGGGGAAGCAGGATGGTGGCTTGCCTGGGAAGGGCCATGGGCCTGGGCAGCATTTGGCACCAGCAGTTGTGCATGCAAGCAAGGAGAAGGTGAAAATCTCAAAGTCCTTTAACAAATGTTTCTTCCAAAAACATAGCAGTTTTTCACATGTGCGGTATATTGCAGCATCAACAGGAGGCCTTCCCCTGGCTGAAAGCCCTGAATACCAAGGAGGGAAGTTCTAGGTGAGCTGCGCTTCCTGGTGGGCATCCGGCCCCGGTGGGCGCAGCAGCTGGGTGTGCAGAGCTCAGTGCTCCTCCTGGGCCTCCAGCACAGGCACAGCAAACGCTGGGCAGCCACGGCAGGGAAGCCACACCAGGCTGTGCTTCTTGACCAGCAAGGGCACGCAAGGGAGCTGTGCTGCACGAGCAGTTTACGATGAGGTGGATTTCACTGCAGCATTGTTGAGAGGCGCGAGATGTCAGCCGGGCAGGGAATTCCCCTCCTCGTTGGAGAGGGATGACAGGCAGCAGCTGCTCGGGCTCGCTGGCCCCTGTGCCTCCAGGGCCAGCAGCCCTCTGAGAGCACTGAGAGGCTGGATGCTGCTTAGTGTCAGGGTGAGGACAGCGCTGGCTCCCCCGCCACCAGAGAGCACAATCGGCTCTGCTTGGTCAGCACAACAGGAAGAGATCTTAGCAAGAGTGGGTTTGTGGTCGAGGACAAACTTGAGCTGAGATAGCTCCTGTCTATTCTTGGCTCAGCAGCAGATTTGCTATGGCCACACTTCTTGCCCTTTCTATGCCTCATTATCCCTGTCAAGCGGGTGACTCAAATTATAATTGCACAAATTCCTTCCAGTCTGCCATTACGTGCCTGCAGTCATCTCCAGGCAGCTACCTCCAGGGGAACCAGCCTCTCCCACCAGGGAACCTCTGTGCCACCCATGCCTGCTCACAAGGGGATTGTAAGATTGCACCCTCTTGCCTTGTCATTTTCCTGCATAGAGAGGAACCTAAAGGAAAACCACCCCCACTCCATCTCTAAATGATCAGATTTGATACTGGCTTGATTATTCAGGTCAAGGTTATGGGCAAGAAGGAGGCAGTGAAGTTTTTCATAGCACTGCCAATATTTGATTAAATAGCTGTTTCTTAATATTTCTCTCAGGCAAATTAATGTGTTTCTGCAGGTATTAGTACTATCACTGGCCTTAAGGATGCTGATGCACGCTGTATTTAATGGTACTTTTGTGAAAGCAAACTAAACAAACCAGAGGAAAAATCATCTCTATTTCTAAAAGCATTACCATTCTTTCATCAGAAATTTACTTGGGTTCTAATTGTTGGAGATTTCAGGTGTCTTACACCTTTTCATATGCACTAAAGACAATTAGATTAAAAATTAAGGTAATGCTTTTCCTTATATATATGCATCCACCTACTACGTTGTCCCAGGAGAAGCATGAAGTCAGGCAGTCATCTCACTTGCCAGCATTTCCATGGGTGAATGTGGGCAGAGGCCATGTGGAGCTTGGCAGGTGACATGACAGTGCTGGCTGCTTCTTCCAGAGGCCACACCTGGATGAAGCTGGTGGAAGGTTCATCCTGGTGTGTGCACCTTCAGCAGGAAGCAGAGAACTGCCACGGATGTGTTGTGGCCTGCAAAGCCCATGTGACCATCTGGGCTCAGTGTGGTTGACTGCTGTGTAATTAGCAGGGAGCCTGGCTCATTAGGTGCTTTGTGGGTTCAGACACATCCATGAAAGCCCTACAGGAAAGCATGTTCTTCCTAACACTTCTTTCATCCTCCCCCTCCCATTCCTTCCAGATGGTTACACCCACTTGTGTCTTTTCTTACCCTAAGGACAGCTTTTTAAACAAGGTTCCTCCATCCTTCTCCTCCCCCACGCTGCATTAGGATCTACATTGAAGTGCAGGAGGACAGAGCTGTTACATCCCATGCTGTTGCATACAGCCTGCCCATAGAAGGCTCGGAGGAGACCACATCCCTCTGCCCCCTGCTTGTTGAGAAGAAAGATCTCAGTGTGGTCAGGATGTAGGGATGAGAGACTTTACTTCAGCCTCAGCTGGGAGTTGCAGATGTGCGGGAATGAATTCAGATACTGGCTGTAGTCAAACCTGTGTATATTTTCTGGGCAGGGAGAGAGGGATGGTTAAAGGGCCTGTAACCCTTCTTCTGTATAGCACCAGTAAATGTTCTCCCAGTAACACACAGCAGGAGCACTTGCAGAGCTGAATCTGAATCTGCTTTTTAAAAAATTATTTTCGCAATTACTCTTTAAAGTGGACATCACTATCAAAAATCACAACTTAACAACTGATCACTTTCATTCTTCAGAAATAGGTGGAGATGCCCCCTCCATAGGACTCCTGTGCCTGCACTCATAGGGCAGCTTGATGGGAGCTTGGGGTCCTCCAGTTCTTCCTCTCTTCAGCGCTGTTGTTAACTGCTCCTCACTTGTTTGTTGGCAGGGCCTGGTGCTGAACAGACTTGGGCGGAGGGAACTGGCCCAGAAAGTCCTCAGAGATGCCATCCGGATCCAGACCACCAGCCACATTGCCTGGAACAGCCTTGGAGAGGTCTTACAAGCTCAGGGGAAAAACGAAGCAGCCATCGAATGTTTCCTTACTGCCCTGGACCTTGAATCCAGCAGTCCTGTCATTCCATTCACCGTCATACCCAGGGAGCTCTGAGGCTTCTCCCTGCAGCTAAGCACTTTCATTGCCTGGACAGACACCAAAACCAAGCAGATCAACAAAGAAGCCCAACAGAAAAGTGCCATTGTAACCTGGAACTGGGCTATGTAATTCCAGGATGGGGCTCAGGTCTACAGGCTTAGCTTAGACAAGCCAAACTGAAGAAGAATTTGCAACAGGCAGGAACAGAGAATGCCTTTTTCTTCACAGGTGCCTGGCTAACCTCCTGTTCAAGTTAATAGCAAGGCTTATTTCAAAGTGCTGGTTCAAGGTGACTGTGGAAAGATCATGCTAGGGTACATCTGTTCAAAGCACTTGCACCTTTCAGTGTTCATTGAAAATAAAACCCCCAAGCCCTGAATTAAAGCCCAGAAATGCTCTAAATAGGAGTAAATTCACCAACTAACTTGAGCAAGTTGTGTTTAAGTATGTGGCTGTCTCCCCACAAATCTCACAGGACAAGAATGACAATTGCACCAAATAGACATAAAATATATGCTGTTTACAAAATTATTTAATCTATTTTGATAACCCTTTTTCCTGCCTTGCTTTTCTATGCTGTATATGCTCACTATATTTAGTGTAGCACTTGCCTAGACCAATTTAAAATTAAATTTTCGTTTTAAATTAAAAATACTTTTTTAAAAATAAAGCTGCTATTGCAGTATAATTAACAAAAGCAGTAAGACCAAAGACCAAATCAGTTCACACTTGAACTGTTATTAAAAACACATAAATATCTCCACTTACATATTTATTAAAAGGCCTTACATGAAGTAACTAATTATAAGCTCTGAGCTTCATTCTTATTAATCACCTATTGCATCAGTTTAGTGAGGAATATAGTGTTTACCAGTGTATAGTTACTGAACTCTGTGCTCTACTGCATTACCATTCCTGGCACAAAACATTTTCATCTCCATCTTTTGATGGTGCAAAAGAAGGCAGTGGTCTTTTAAGGGAAAGTGTGCTGAAGGCAATATGGGTATATATGAACTGCTTCTTCCTTAAAACTAAATATTTCAATTGTCCATAGAAATTTCACAGTAGAGGTACGGAGTTGAGCCTTCAGTGGCATCATTTTGCATCTCCTATCAGATGTATTCTGATCCACATGGCCTCCCCATGGCTGGCACAGCCAGGGAGGGGACACAGCCCCTGCTAAGCTGCTCCTTAGCTCTGTGTGGCCTTCCCAGGGCCTTGGCAGTGAGGTGGAGTGATGCAGCAATTTGCTGCACTTTTCTACAAAAAAAAAAAAAAGAAGAAAAAAAAAATGGCCTTTGCGCCCATTTTTGTCCAAAGATTTGCGACTATTTCATAAGTAAGTTTGCACTAAAGCACACTTTGTACTATAATTCTGTCCAGTATTGTGATCCACTACTAGTTCACTCTGGAAATAATAATATCCTCAGGCAATAAATAAGATGGGGTTGTTTCTTACAGAGCCTGAGGCTCTGGCAGCAGACTTGAAGTCAGTGTTGTTTACAGTTATTTGGAAATCTGCAGGCTAATGAAGAACTGGGCCCTTGTGCTGCTCCCGGCCCACAGCCTGGGAGAACTCCCGCCCAGCCTTCCCTCAAGATGCCTGCACCGAGGGAAGCACACTGCTCTCAGGTTCCTCACAGCAGCCTGGTGCACTCCAGGCCAATATTTTTAGTTTTCCCCCTTAAATGATACAGATGCAGTAGCCCAGCTTATTTATCTGTTCACTGAGGGATTCCAGATCTGATGTAGGCTGATTTTACTCCAGGTGAAAGCAGCCCAGCCGTGAACGGTGCTCAGCCCATGAGTCCTCTGGCTTTCCAGTGCCACGCAGGCACCCAAAAGGACTTTCTTAGGCCAGGGGCAGGTTTCCTAGGAGACGGTGTTCCCATGCTGCATTCCTTGTTTGCAATAGCACCAGCAGCAGAGGAAGGAGTAGGTGTTAAAGTACCAGAATTAAAGGAGTTTCATGAAGACAAAAAGATGCAGCCAAGACACGTTTTGCTGCGCAGGATGCTATGAAGTCTCACTGCACTGCGGGGGGGAGAGAGGGAAGGGGAGGGGAAGAGATGCTGTTGTTGACATAATATGTAAATTGTGACACAGGTGTTTTAAGCCCAGTTTCACAGTCAGATGCAATCTGACAATAGACTTAAGCAGAGATATATATATAGAGATAGATATTATATTCTGGTGTTTGTTGTGCTCCACAGTTCCCAGGGTGGGAGCGAGCCCTCTGTGTGAGACACAAAACAAGAGCCCGTGTGGCCGCGCGTCGCCGCTCCGTTGTGCGATGTATATTTGCAAAGCACTGCCATAGCAACTTCTGTGTACTGGGCAGCTATTTGAGTGCAAGCTGCGCATCCACCTCTGCCACCAAGGAGCAGCTTTAAGAGGTCTGTAACGTAGCTGCTCTGTGACCTGGCAGGAGGGTGCCTGTTTCCCAGCAGCAGCTGAAAAGCAAACACTCACAGATCCATTTGCTTGTGCACACGTAGCTTGTAAACAGCCACCAGCCCATCACCTTTGTTGCAATCAGGCAAACAGCATCCTGATGATAATCAGACTTGCCACAGCACTCATCTTCCTGGAAGAGGGGCAAACATTAATGAATACTTTGAGTGCATCAACAAGTCAGATGTTGCCAGGGTGGTCCCATCTTGTGTGTATTAATGAGTGTTGCTGGCATTGGAGTCTCAGTCCTAAGAGCCTCTGCTCCATGTGTGGCAGGGAAGATGTGCCTGAGTAAAGGCCACCATCAGCAGGAATCAGAGGTTTTTGGTACTCTACCAGCTCACCACACCGCAGCTCCCACAGGCAAAGTACTTTGCATACATGCTGGACTCAATCCCGAGATTTCCTGCATTCTTCCCAGAGGATGCAAAGTATCTCTTGGCTGGAAGGGTATTGTATTGGCTTGAAATGCTCTGTACAATGCAGGAAAGAGAGTGGTTGTTGCAGACTTACAAGTGCTTTGGGGGTAAATCCTCCATCTATATTTGTTAATCATGCTCAGCAAACAGACGTCTTCCCAAACTTACATGCTACCTCTCTCATTCAGCATGGATTTTGTTCACACTAACAGATACAGAAAAGAAAGACAACTGCTTCAGACAAGCCTGTGTATTGTAGTATTTATTCAGATAGCAACGTTGATAAATCTGATAGACTTACTTCCCTGAGCTCAGTAATAGGCGTGGCAGGGAAGCCTGGCATGCTTAATGCTCAGGGTTTGAGATTTACGAACAGAAGATTTACATCCCATCTCTCATATGATTATTACAGATCATAAGTAATGGAAGTTTGGGGAACAAAAACTTTGGAGAACCAATCCTGCAAGTTTTAGCACTGACTTGAGTCTTAACAGAGTTTTCTCATTCATTAGTTTTGAAAGAGGAAGGTAAAAAGCCCACATCATTGCCTAAAGTATCACGGTCCTCTTGTTCTACCACAAGGTTCTTTTCCATTTTTTGGCAGAGTGCATGCAAAAAGAAAAAATAATTACCTTCTATTTTCCTGTTGTGCAGTAAAGGAGTGGTGTGTGCCGTTGCCTTTGACCAACAAGGAGGATTGCACATTGTAACAAAAGTGACTCTGCCTGCAGGATAACAGAAGGAGAAGCCCAGCAGGCCAGGGAACAGCTCCCCTCCCTGCCTTGCCCCGTGTACAGTGTCATTAGCGCCCCTGGAGCAGTTGGTTGTGAGCATTCCCCCAGCTGAGGTCTGCCCACCGTGTGCTCATTCCGTACAGGGAGTACCGCGGAGCGCGGATCCTGCGCCACGCAAGGACCCCGGCCGTTTCTATTGGAAACACTTCGTGCTGCTGATTAGCACAATGCTTCAGAAGTGCTAATTATCTTTTCTTGGTAATGACTAATAAATCCAAATGGAGAACAGTCCTGGAGGGTGTTTACTTGAAAATTCACTGGCTGCGTACCAAAGCAGGCACAGCACTGGCTGCTGCAGTTTGAATTACAGTTATTTTGTCCAAAAAATGTTCCATTTTCAGGGAGACTTGGTAAAGAATGAGTTTGGCTAGTTGGTATTTCTTTTTAATGACAGCAAAGAGGGAAACAATTCTTTTTAGTGAAAAGACATCACTGCCATGATCTTCTTTCAGACAAACCAACAGAGATTTGATAGTTGCAGTTCAGCCTACAAGAGGAAGGCTTCCCAAAGCAACTGTGCTGCAGCAATAATTCCCTCTGACTCAATTGTATTACAGGCATATTTGACAATTATGCAATGGGCATGTGGAGCTGAGACGTCTCTCCCTCCTTATTTGGCTAAGGGGAGCTGCTTTGTGCCCAAAGGGACAGCTGTGGCACCCATCTGGGCGCCTGTCAGCGCTGCCCTGGCGCCTGCCACCTGCAGGGTGGCTGCTGCCACCAGCCCAGCGGGTCTTGTTCTCCAGCACCCGTCACTTGTGCTGGGTCAGTGACCCTCAGACTGCTCCCTAAGCCTGGCTCCGAGGGACGGTTTCCTTGCTGGTGAGTTGTTGTTCAGTGCTGCAGGATATCAGTGCATGATCAGACAGAAGGTTGTTTTCCCAGAAATGGAAAGCTGAATCGTCCATCAGTCAGTGATGCTGGCAGGAGGGGGGCAACCACTGACCCAGCAGTTGCCAAGATGGGTCCTCCAACTCTGCTTCTAATGAACTGGCTTGTGCCTTCAGCTCCAGCAAACCAGGGCAGGCTCCCAAATGACTGGATTCTGAAAGATCCAGCTCGTTTTCCCACAGAAACACATGCCAGTCAGTGGCTTAAACCTCTGATGGGGATGCAATGCTGCACCACCCTGTAGCAACCCATGATGACACAAGAACCTTGCTGAGCCAGTGCACAGAGGGCTGCTCAGCCTTTGCACATCCAAGCACGTCCTGTATGCCACTCTGATGCTGTTGTCACGGGTGTCAGGATCAGTTTTCCATGTAAATTAACTTCTTTTGTCATTGTATGATATTTCCACCGAATTTAATAAAATTGACCCAGTGGAAAACAAAAAATGCTCCTTATATTTCCTGCTGATTTTATTCATGCCACAGATGCTTCAAGCATTATGAAATGTCCAGTTGTTATATTAACTGGAACCCAGTGTGCCTAGGAGTTACCAGTTGCAAAGGGTATTTTGGCCTGCACCCTGTAGTTCATGGGAAAAACGAGAGTGAGCATGCAAGCAGTGTGCCTTCAGAGAGGAACAGAGCCAGGAAAATGGAGCAATGTAGCTTCAGATGTTTGGATTTGTGGAGATTTAAGCAAGCATCATGCTTTTCTTGTGCTTCATCCAGTAAAAATAAATAAAGGTAGTGTGAGAAACTCTGACATCGAGGTAATATGCAAATACTATGCTGTCAAGTTTAGGGACTTACATTACTTTGGCCACAATGACATTAATCATCTTTTTTGTTATGAGCAGTTACTGCTGTGGTTATTTGGAAATAAAATGTCTCCATTGAAGAGCTTCCAGAGCATCTGTGCATTTACACATTAATCTTTTGGGCTGGTTTCAAGAGGACCTGCTTAAAAAGTCCATCCCTTAGTTTCATACTCAAATGAGATGAAGGATGAGGTTTTTGAAGAACATTTCTTCATAAATGTGGCTGCTTTGGTTTATGAGTGTACTCAGCATGAATCAGGCAGAACAAGATTCCTATGTGGCAATAACAGATTTAAGTCCTTCAGCTGCTCATAGAATCTTAAAAATTGAAAACTGAAGTGAATAAAAGACTGGCTCTAGCTTTTTCCCCATCTTTCTCTTGATACGGAGAGGGACAAAACGCTGGTGTGGGGCAGGGAGGGAGGGAGGGAGGGATGGGGAAGGCTTCCATGTCCCCTCTCAAGCAGGAGCTCAACTGGAGGCCGGCAACTGAGCCCCAGCAAAAGCTGGAGAATTTCATTGTGCAAGATTCCTCTGAGGAGACCACTCATCTTTGCTGGTACCTAATGCTGGTACATTGCCTGGTACCCTCTCTGTATCACACAGACTTTTAATACTCCCTTTCTGTTTAAATGGGTAGAAAGTAAGCCTTTTTGCCCCTCATTTTTGCTAGGAGGCACTCCAGTTGGTTTGGGAGCTCCACCTTTAATAAAGAATCGCTTCTTCCCTTGCATGTCAGTGATAATTCTGACACAATACTCCTGAAAGGTCATTAAGAATAATTTAATAAATTTTAATAATTTATTATATATTTTATCTAATTTTTAATAATTGATTCATACCTCCACTTCTTTCTGCACCAGAATGTTCAAATACATGTAGTATATTCCTGCTTCATGTGAGGTCCAGATATTTAG